ATCATCATCATCATCAACATCATCCTCAACACGAACATTGGATTTGTAATTTTCACAAACAAGCATTAAAGATGACTATTAACTTTCTAACTCTTCTTTTCTTTCAATTCTTCCTTAAAAAGCTTCTCACGCTCTCTAATCATATCCAATTGGATCCTCAAAGTTTCTATCATTTGTCTCTCAAAGGGCCTAAGATTAGGATTCATCTCCAATTCCCTCAAAGATTCATCAATTTTGCTATATGGGACTAGAGACTCGTCACAAGAGTTTGGAGAATGAAAAGGTGAAGAGGGTTGTGGATCAAGAGTAAAATTATAGTCACAAGCAAGAGTAGGATCATCAACATTATAAACATGAGCACTTTCATCAAATTGGGAAGAAGGGGCACAATCAAGCATAGGGAACAAAGCGTATCACAAGAAGGTCATACATGCTAAATAATGAAGAATATTGAAATATAACATTAGCATCAACTTGAGCATGCTCCACATCATCATGAACAATAGGAGAAATAAAGATGAAATCATTCGTTCTAAGTTCAATCATGGGATCATATGAAAATTCATTGGAACTCATGCTAATATTAGAAGAATTAAGACATTGCATATTAATATTAGAATAATGATTACCCCTTTTATAGACATCCCAAGAAAACCAAACATAAAAATCCCAAGCATCATCAATTGACAATGCTCGAAATTCACTATTATGCGTGCTTTCAACTAAATCCCTTGTTAGCTCATTCAAACCAATGTAACAAATCTCACAAGCCTCCTAAAGCCTACAACAACTATAGTCAAGAAATCCCTCAAACATAGACAGCGTTTCCCGGCAACGAGGCCATTTTGACGTGGGGTGAACTAGGTTGTTGACTAATCCTTCCTAAGATCAAACAAATTTATAATCACTTAACAAACCTAAATACAAGTATAAAGGTAAGTCAAGGGTCGTAGGAACAGTTAAGTTTAAGTGCTTGCAATCAATGCCTAAGCTAGGTCGAAGTCAAGAGTGAAGAAAGACTAAACAACTACCAAAACAAATAAGAATCAAACAAATAAAACACTAGGGAATTGGGATCAACAAGTAACCATGACAATTGCAACAACTTGGGAAGGTCAAGCTAATCAATGGTTGTGAAGAATAATGGTAAAAGCTATCAATTGGAATCAAAAAGCTATCTCCTAATCGTTAAGCTAGGTTTTCTTTATAAATAACAACCTAGGAGAATCACAATTCAAACCAATAAAAAATTGCAAATCCTAAATCAATTGGTCATGTCATTAGGATCTACAATGCAATCTAGCATAGTTCTCAATATCTATTCAAACTAAGCACATGCAAACTTTCATTAATCAATTTAATTTCAACAATCAATCAACATAATTCCTAAATTAATCATACAAATTTTACCCAAACCCTAGCAAGCAACTACTCACTACAATCCATCATCAAATCAAAGCAAGTAAATGAAATCAAGAGTCAACTAATTATGAAGAACAAACTAATCTACTCAAGAATCAAGCAACAAACGAGATCAAACAAGCATGAAATTAAAGAAAGCAATAAAGAGGAGAGAGTAAGAAATGCTCATTAATAATTGAGAAGATCTTTAATACAATTGTCACTCTTGAATCTTTAATCTCTCAAATCACCATTGAAATAATCTCTCACTTTCTCTCTCTAAAACTACTCCTAAGCTAGCCTAATCTAGAGAGAGAAGCTCTCAACCTAATCCTAATTATGAGAGAGAAATTAAAAAAGATGTCTACCCAAAAATTGAAGGTCCATACATATTTATAGTTATAAGAAAAAAAGAAGAAAAATAAGCAAAATCACAAAAGGCTCAGCAAATGCTTATGCCCGAGAATACCCTCTTTTGGTTCAGGCTTTTACTGAAGAAAGAAAACCGCCGCGCCACGGTAGGGATTGTCGCGCCATGGCAGCAGTTGCCGCGCCACGGCAGCAGGTGCTGCGCCCAGGTGGCTGTGCCACGCCACGACTGTGGTTGCCGCGCCACAGGAGCTTGGTGCAAAGAGTTGCTCGGGCAGCTTGCTCGGTCGAGCACAATGTGCGTGCCCAGCATAGACACGATCCTTCTTCAATGCTTGGGCATGCGTTCTTGCCCATGCAACCTACCCAAGTCACTATGCTTTAACTTCCAACTTGATTTGCTTGCGCTTTAACTTCCCGTACTCGGTTTTGTTTACTTTCAAAGCTCGTGTTGGGCTTCCTCCTCGATATTTGAGCCTTGGAAAATCCCGATACACCTACAAAATAAGTCAAACAAAATGGAAAGCGAGAGAATAACAAAGAAATGCATAAAATGATAAGAAAGCCATTAAAAGGACTCATTTCTCTAAACTCACACACAACCACGCAAATCAAGCATTATTTTATAAAAAAACACAACTAAAAAGGCTAAAAAACAAGCATAAACTAAAGAAGAACTATACCCTATGAGTGTTATAAATGACACTCATCAGCTACAAGTTGTCTATGTCATCTGTTGCTGTGTGGATAACTAACTTGAAATGCGAGTACAACATGCCACATAAAGCTGTTGATTGTGTCGCTTCTTTGATTAAGGATAGTTGTCCAGAAATTAGTAACATGACAGATTCCCCATACAACCCAAGTTGATTCAATGCCTTATACTAGGGGTGGGACTTCGGTCTGGCGGTTCGGTTTGACCTCGGTTTGAGTCGGTTTTGGTTTGGAGCGGTTCGGATTGAAACGGTTTAGTTTAGCTTGCGGGTCGGTTTGGTTCGGTTTGGGTTAGTCACGGCTCGGTTTGGTTTCGGTTTATTTCTTTGCGGTTTAAATTCGGTTTGGGTCATAAGCGGGTCGGTTTATAAACGATTCGGATTATGTCGGTTCGGTTTGATACGGGTCGGTTTAGGGGGCGGGTTTACCCGGGTCAATGTCAGTTCGGTTTACAAATGATTTGGATCAAGCCGGTTTGGTTTGAAATGGGTCGGTTTAGGGGGCGGGTTTACCCGGGTCAATATCCGTTCGGTTTACATGTCGGTTCAGTTTGAAATGGGCCGGTTTAGTGGAGGGTTTACACAGTTCAATTGGTTCGGTTTATGAACGGTTTGGATCATGTCGGTTCGGTTTATAAGCGGTTTGGGTCATGAATTCATGATTTTTTTAAAGATCGCGTCATGACCATGATTTAATGAGTTGATACTTATAATACGATAAATCGATAATTAAGAATGTACAAGTATTCAATTAGATTGATCAACAAGTGTTTTAAACTTTTAAGTTTTAATAATCAGATATGTAAATATGTTTATCGATTGTAGTACATACCAATAATTCAATGAGGCAATGATACTTATGATAGTATGATAATGATACCAACCGTACATTCGTACGATATGATATACATAATAATTAATCTATAATTACATATACATTAACAATATCGTATTGAATCAATTTCCATTTCCAAACATTGCATTTCTTATAAATTATAACTTACACGAGATTAAATGGATTCGTTATTTAGTTTGTTACTTTATTTAGATTACTAACTCAAACAACTTAATAAGTTAAATGGACGAAATCACGAAATCATGACCATGATTTAATGAGTTGATACTTATAATACGATAAATCGATAATTAAGAATGTACAAGTATTCAATTAGATTGATCAACAAGTGTTTTAAACTTTTAAGTTTTAATAATCAGATATGTAAATATGTTTATCGATTATAGTACATACCAATAATTCAATGAGGTAATGATACTTATGATAGTATGATAATGATACCAACCGTACATTCGTACGATATGATATACATAATAATTAATCTATAATTACATATACATTAACAATATCGTATTGAATCAATTTCCATTTTCAAACATTGCATTTCTTATAAATTATAAATTATAACTTACACGAGATTAAATGGATTCGTTATTTAGTTTGTTACTTTATTTAGATTACTAACTCAAACAACTTAATAAGTTAAATGGACGAAATCACGAAATCACTAATTAAAGTGGTGATGAAATCATTATGCAATACTAATGTACGAATAGTCAAATATACAACGGTTAGATTGAATGCCCATGAAAAACAATGGTTAGATTTTCATTACTTTATTAGTTATTAGTATTATTACTTATTAAGTTATTATTAGTTTATTATATATACTGATATACAGTCACAGACTCACAGATATATATAATATACATATAGAGATGTCAGATATTGATGTGCATTAACTCATTAAGTCATTAACTATGTCGTATTGAATCAATTTCAATTTTGAAACATTTGCGTTTCTTACAATTTATAACTTATAAGTAATAAACTAATAATAATAATAATAATAATAATAATAATAATAATAATTATAATAATATTATAATAATAGTAGTAGTAAACTAGTAATAATAATAATAATAACAAATAATTATACTAACAATAATAATAATAATAATAATAATAATAATAATAATAATAATAAATAATTAAAAAAACGGTCAAAAAGACCTAGAAAAGCACAAAGAAAAATCTAGACCGTTAGATCTAGATGAATATTCTGGAATCTACAAAAAAAAAAAAAAAAAAAAAAAATGAACGGTTAGATGTTGAGATTGAATATGGACGGTTAGATCAACTGAACAAGTAAAACCTAAACCTAGAAAAAAAAACCCACTCTATCAGCCATTCAGCCGTTTTACACTTTTACTCACTCAGTCACTCTTCTATTCTCAATCTATCATAGTTTCTCTCTCTAACTTCTCAGTTTCTCACTCTTTCGTTCTGAAATTCTCAAGAATCTCAACTTCTCAACTTTTAAAAATCCTAATTAGGGTTTTTGTTTTCATTTCATTTGTGTTTTGGATCTACAGTTCTGATTTCTCGCTTTACATTCTCGTTTTTTTGTTTTTTCAAATCTTCCTCTCCTTCAATTTGAAGGCTTCAAGCCGTCAAAAGTTCAAAACTCAAGGTAATTTTTTGTTAATTTTTGTTGTTTTCGTTTTGATTTTTTTCGTTTTTGTTTCGGTTTGTTTATTTAGGGTTTTTGTTTTCGTTTCATTTTTGTTTTGGATCTAAGTTCTGATTTCTGACTTTTCCATTCTTGTTTTTTTTTTCAAATCTTCCTCTCCTTCAAGCCGTCAAACCTCAAGGTAATTTTTTGTTAATTTTTGTTGTTTTCGTTTTGATTTTTTTCGTTTTCGTTTCGGTTTTTTACTTTTTTTATTTAGGGTTTTTGTTTTGGATCTAAAGTTCTGATTTCTGACTTTTCCATTCTCGTTTTTTTTTTTTTTTTTTTTTTTTTTTTTTTTTTTTTTTTCAAATCTTCCTCTCCTTCAAGCCGTCAAACCTCAAGGTAATTTTTTTGTTAATTTTTTCGATTTTTTTCGTTTTCGTTTCGGTTTTTTTTTTTATTTCAAGTTCTGATAATCTACATTCTTGATTTTTTCTTTTGGTCTCCAGTTGAGGTAGTTCTCCATCTTCAAATCTCCTTCAAACCGTAAGAGGTAATTACTTTTTCCTTTTCGTTTTTTTTTTTTAATACAGTTTTTCTGTTTTTGTATTTGATTATTGTTGTTGTTCTTGCTTGAATATAGTCGAAATATGCCTAAAATCTGTTGTTGATTGTATTTTTGTTTTTTACGGGAAAATGGTAGATTTGTGCTGTTTTGTTGTTTATTATGCTCGATTTAAAAGTAATGATGATGGGTTGTTCAGATTATGTGATTATTATTGTTGGAATACATGCATTGTTTATTTATTGGAATACTTGTGCAGTTGTGCTTCATGCTTTGGTCCATACTCCATAAAAAATGATGGTTGACCATACTGTCAATTGCATACTTGTAATAATTGGCATATTTTGTACTCAAGAATGAATTTATCCATTGAAATTCAATTGTGGGTCCTTATGCCTTACTGAAAAAAATGACTTATCAGGGAAATCATGCATGCTTAAAATGAATGGTAGTCTTCTATTTTTATTTGTAATGTCATAATTTAACTTTTAATAGAAAATCTGTTTCAGTTGCATGAGGTTGATGACGAATGTGATGATTCAACTAGATGCCCTCTGGCTGATCTTGAGGCATATTTGAATGGAACTCGTTCGCGATTAATTCAAGGGGAACATTTTGACGTTCTCAAGTACTGGGAATCTCAAGCTTCTTCTCTTCCTATTTTAGCTAATATGGCAAGGGATGTTTTGGCCATTTCTATTACATCGGTGGCCTCTGAATCTTCTTTTAGTTTGGGTGGTCGTATTTTGAACAAATATAGGGGTAAACTTTTGCCAAAGAATGTAGAGGCATTGGTTACCACCCAAAATTGGTGTCGTGGTTATCAAGCGGATGTTGAGGAAGACGTCCTCCTTATTGGTAAAGAGATTGAAGCCGAAAGTGCTTCATCTGCATAACTGGTATTTGTGTCTCATTGTGGTTTATTTTATCTTGAAAAATCGTTGCCCTTGTCATTTATTTTCAGACTTGCTGGCAGCATTTTTCAAGACTTTTAAAATCGTTGCCCTTGTCATTTATGTTGAGACTTAAATAGTTAAATGTATTTTGGTACTTGCTGGCAGCATTTCTCAAGTTTTTGTTAAAACAACCATTGCTCAGTTGATTTAGTGCTGCATCCTAATGGTTTATGGTGAGTTGCATTTACTTTAAATAGACAAAATTCTATAGCTTGATTTTTTATTTTTTAATATTTATATCAATGTGATTATTTTAATATTCCACCTTGAATAGGTTTCCCCATCGTGATGTGTCTCATAAAGTTTTTGAGACATCATATAAGGCGTACTATAAGGGACCATATTGCAATTGGGCTATGACTCCACTAAAAGTTCGAGATGGTGGTATGCTTTCAAGGTTTGTCTTTTGTAAGGTTGATGTTTTGGGTTATATTTGCTTAGTGTAGTTGCAATAGTGGTATTGATTGTCATTTATTATAATAACTCAATTGCCTTTTTGCTTGATCTTTTATATTTAACCTAAGCAAGAGTTCTCATGGGATCCATCAATAGCTAAGGAAGTTAAGAAGGGGTAGAAATTGAAATGTAGTAGGCATATTACTGATATGGTGTCGAAGGTTTGCACAGATGCTAAGTATAATGCTGACTGGTGCCCTCCTACCATAAGGGAGCAGATGATTCAGATTAGATCTAAAGAGGATTTCTAAGAAAAATCAAAGCAATGTTCAAAAAGGCGAATGGGCAACGGAAACCAAGAATTTCACCATCGACAAGAGTCTATATCTAGTGAAGAAGTGCAGCTGAAATTGGTAATAACTCCTTTAAACATCTAAAATTTCACTATATTATTAAAATGTGATATAATCCAAAACTAGTGAATAGTACGTGCCTGATATTTTCTCTTGCCATCATGACATTTCTATACGTTACATAGTTAGTTAGCTAGCTGGTAATGATATATGATTTCATGGTGTTTAGTATAGTTGATACTTGATAGTGAGCAATCTGAGTATAGTTCTATGTCGTAATGGTTTTTCATAGTGAACATATTTTTGTAAAAATTCATGTAATATACCTAAGGTTGCTTTATTATTCCTAAAAGTTTACATATTCTGACATCTAACGACCCACTAATATTTTCTCTTGCTTTTCTTGTTTTGTAGTCACTTCTTTTTGGTCTTTATCTTGTTTTAGAGCTTCTTAATGGTATTTATCTTCTTTTACAGATACGTCCTTTCGTTTCTTCCTTTCAAGGTCAATTTCACAAGATGTCTTAGTGGATTGATTATATAGATTACAGAATTTAGTGTTCTATATATATATATATATATATATATATATATATATATATGTCTCCTTAGTTGTATATTAATGATCTTATTTTCACCTCATATTTACTATGTTAGAAACTAGTGTTGTATATTTGATTTCCTAACCACCTCTTTTATGTACTATTTAAAACTTCATATGTGACAATCCTGTTAACCATGCATTTTACTAGTCTCATGCTGTAAAAACTAAAAAAAAAAAATTAGTTTTATTAGCTCAGATCATGTTAGACTATTAGTGTGCCTTTTCATTGCTTGTTTACTATTTTTTATTGATACTTCTTCTAACCACCTCTTTTGGACTTTGTGAATGGTTTCGTACCTCATTCACTTGTAGCAAATTGAAATTTATAATATGCGCATATTTGCAACCATGTTTAGTCCTTGCTTAACTGTACAGAAGTGAAATTTAAAATCTGCTCTTGTTTGCAATCATGTTAAGTACTTGTAACATTTTTATTTTCAGAGTGACTATAGTAGTAAAAAGGCTGCAAACCTTGAATGTGAGACTAGAATAAAAAAACCGAAGATGAGTTGTTCCTTAAGGCTGCTAGTGGGTGGAATGACAAGGGAAGATTATTTGGTTTTGGAGCTGCTACTGACTCATATTATGAGAGACCAGGAACTGAAGAAAAGAGGGCAAAAAAATCAAGAAGAGAGTATGCAATGAAGTTGGAGAACAAGTTTATTGATCTCGTTACAGAGAATGTGGAACTAAAGAAAGAGCTTAATGCAAAAAGAAAGAGCTTAATGCAACAAAAGAGAGCCTCGTCAAAACCCAAAAAAGTGTTGCCGAAACTCAAAACACTTTGAAGGCCCTTGAACAACAAGTGCAAATGCTTCTCCAATCCAACATAATCTCAATCTCTCCTACATCTACATCCTCCCCTACTGATGCATGATCATCAAGTGCAAAGGACAGGGCTCCTTTTTGTATATTGCATGTGAAGTCTCTAATTATTACATTAGACATGTTTCTAATATAGGTCTCAAGGTAGCATATTTTGGACCAAGTATTATGGCTTTAGGTATTAATTAACTCTAAAAGGGTGCTTTTGTATATTGCTACTAACTCTAGCCTATTAGTTGTTCCCTTGTAAGTTACACTATGAACTTGGCCTTTTTTATATGAAGTACATGTGTAATGACTTGACTTTGGTTTAATTTTGTCTTTCTTTTTTCAATATAAAAAAAAAAATATATTAAAACCTGATATTTATTTGAAAATACAAACAATATTTAAATCTGTTATAACACTAGCGACATATTATATGATTCTATTGCTAATATCATAAACAGATTAAATTATATCCGTTTCTAAGTCATTTTAAGCAAGTAGTCTCAAGAAGTACCAAATTACTTGAATTGATTCATTTGGATTTAGCGGACTTTAAAAATTGCACTAGTAGGGGTGGTAAGAATTATTATGTTACTTTTGTTGATGATTTTTCACGTTACATCTAAAAAGAATGGTATCCTTCCAACAAGTGTATTATTCCGATAGAGGGTTCAGAATTATTAGAAAGCTAATTCTTCAGTGAGGTCAAGTGATCCAAATGCCTAGGTTCAGGCCGCTTCCGATCAGTAATATTAATGTATAATTAATATTACAGCTTAATCTTTACTGAACCCGTCGGGTCACACCTCAATCGAGTAACCGATCCGAGGCGAGGAATTAATCCGAAAGATTAAATGAGTCATTAGAGTATTACGAACAAAGACGTCGGATATCGAGCTTAGAGCGTTGAGACCGAGCGTCACAAGTCGAGTCGAATTTAGAATTCGACGAGACGTAGAATCAACAAGCGACAAATACGTGCTAAGTTTTAGCCTCGCATTGGCCTAGCCATCCAAGTGCTAGGCTAGGCGAAGGCACCAACTACATGCATGCTAGCGTGGTGGGCATGGCACCCAGCCACACACATAGCCGCAGCTAGGCTGTGCTTAGCATGCAAGCATCGCAAGCATGGTGCTTTGCGTATGCGTGATTGCTAGCATGCTAGGGCCTAGCGTCCAGCTCTTCGCAGCTTCGCACCAAGCAGCGCACTCGCACAACACACGCATCGCAACAGCGTGCTGTACGTGTGCGTGTGTGAGCTGTGCGTACTTGCTAGCCAAATAGCACCAACCATCGCAGCGTGCTGTGCGTGCTTTCTAGTGTAGCATGACGCTATGCATGCTTGTGCTATGGGCTATGCATGCTGGGCATCGCATATCATTCGCACCCGCAACGCACAAGCAAATGTAGCCAGCAGCCCGCAATGCATGCGTGGCGTGCTTGCTGCGTGTGTGCGTAGGCAGGCTGGCTAGCAAGCCCAGCCTTGCTGCTAGGTGCCAGCTGGGCAGCCTTGGCAGCCAAGGCAGGCTACCAGCAAGCCATGCTCAAGGAGACAACTCATGGTTTGGTGTGGGGACCGAATCTTGAGGGTTGCTTGGGGAGCAAGGGGATTTTGGTCCTCCCTCAAGTGGTCCTCACCTACCCTTGCTTACCCTTTGCCACCTGGAGCTAGTAGATTGCTTTGCATTTTAATTTGTTTTTGATTAAAATCTAGTCTCCTTTCCCTATAAATGAAAGGAATGGTGTCCTTCCAACAAGTGTATTCTTTTGATAGAGGGTTCAGAATTATTACGGAGCTAATTCTTCAGTAAGGTCAAGTGACCGGAATGCCTAGGTGGAGGCCGCTTCCGATCAGTAATATCAATGTGCAATTGATGTTACAGCTTAATCTTAACTGAACCCTTCGGGTCGAACCCAATCCAATCATCGATCCGAGACGACGAATTGATCCGAAAGGATTTAATGAGTCAACAGAGTTTTACGAATATAGACGTCAGAAATCGAGCCTAGGGCGTCGAGACCGAGCGTCACAAAATCACAAAGCGACAAGTACGAACATAGCCCTAGCACCACACTGGCCTAGCCATGTGGATGCTAGGCTAGTTCAAGCTAGCATGCACCTAGCATGGCTAGGGGCACCATCGCAAGCTCAAGGCGCACCATCGCAGCCTAGGTGCACAATCGCAGCCTAGGCATGCGCATGGCAGCCTATCGCAGAGCACCACAAGCCCCAGGCAGCCCATCGCAGCTAGCAGCGTGCTAGCCTGAGTGCGCATGGCAAGCCATCGCAAGTGCCACAAGCACTAGGAAGCCCATCGCAGCTAGCAGCGCGCTAGCCTGGGTGCTTGGGTGCATGTGGTAGGCTATCACAGCACGCATGCCCAGGCCATGCACCATCGCAAGGCATGGCACCACGCACAGCACCATCGCAATGCCAAGGGCTTGCGTGTGTGTGCGTATGTGCCTCGCAGCCTCACACATCAGCAGCAATGATGCGTGTGGGCTGGTGCGTGTGTGCGTGCAATGGGGATGCTGGGTAGCAGCACCACGCATGCATTTGCGTGTGTGCGTGCCTCGCACCAAGCATAGCAGTGCTAGGCACTGGCTGATGCGAGCGTTGCGTGGTGCATGGTGTGCGGTGCGTAGGATGATGCGAGGGAAGGGCCAGCATGTGTGGCTCGCTAGCAGCACGCATGCTGGCTGTGCTAGCAATGGCGCGCAAGGAGGTGTGCGTGGGCTGCTAGGGCCAGTGCCAGCACTAGGTGCTAGCAGCGCCCAGCGCCACCACGTAGCACTAGCACAGCCCAGCAGCAGCATGCACTGGCTGGCTGGCTGGCTGGGTGCTGGGCAGCAAGGCAATGCTAGCTGGCAGCCCTAGCTGGCACGCTAGCTGGAAGCCAGCTAGCTCACCTTGACCCGGTTTTAGGCATTGTGTGTGAAGACCAATTCATGGCCTTGGGGATCAAGGCACTGGTCCCCCCAAGCCTTGGTCCTCACTTGGCTTTCTCTATTATTGTGCCATGTGCCGATTTGTGATTGAATTGATTAATCATTTAATTTTGGAATTAAATAATTATCATTTTACCAACTCTCCCACATTGATGGGAGATTGGAAATCAAGGGATCATTTCCCTGTAAATACCAAGCTTGGGTATTGGGAAATAAACAACCTTGAGTGGAATTAAAAAGTTAACTCTAAGAAAGAGTAAACCTTTGATTCGTAAAACTCATATTTATTTTGTCCGGGTCTTGACTAACCTTCAAGACTTAGGACGCTCGGGTCGGGTCGAGGGTACGATCCGCCGGAGATCTCGTCTTTTCGGGATTTTGAAGTAAGAGCTCTTTGGGAGCGAAGCACGCGTCAAAGGTATAATTCTTGTTTTTAATCTTGTTTGATTAAGTTTATTATGCTTGTTAATTGCTTTAATTAAGGGGCGGGTCTTGGTGGGTTTCCTTCCGCGTAGTGTCGGGTCACTACGAAACACTACAGCGGTATCGGAGCCACGCTCCTTTTAATTTTTGCAATTTTTGTTTAATTAAGGTGTTTTAAAAGAATTTAATTTTCTGGTTCATGTTATTCTAATTAGATTAGATGCTCGTTTTAATTAATTTTAAAACTCGATTTTATTTTCGATTTGGCTGTCGAACCCAGATTTTGGCTCAAAAATAGTGATTTTTGGGTGGAATCGACATTCTGGAACAGATTCAAGCCTTTTAGGACTGTCCAGAAGCCAAATTCGAACCAGAAACCCAATTTTTCTGGGGTTTTTCGTTTTTCAACGAAAATTTTAATTCTTTTTAAGCCTTGATTAATGCAAGCATTACAAGGTTAGATTAAATGCACAATTGCATCACTAATCTACTGGTTTTAAAATATCCTTGAGCATAATAATGGAGTTTTTATTAGTGCTTAAGTTGATATACCAATTTTTCACATAAACTTGATTTTCACAAATTTTGCAAATAAATTGCAATAAAGTGTGAAAACTTGTTGTGATTTTGTATTTTAAGTTCCCAAATAATGTTAAAGTTCTAATCTTTAAAGGTTTAAATGATTGGAACCCTAACCCTAAATTCCATGTTGAACAAAGTTTGGATTTTTTCATGGTTGGTTGATTAAAATCCATTAAGTTCAATTACTTGTGAGTAAAATTTGATTAATCTTCATGTTGGAAGATGTAATCTTGGTATTTTACACAAGTATGCAAGTTGAAATTTTTTTATTATGGGATGGTTAATTTATTTTTCCAACTCCCATTTGTCAAATCCATTATTAATTTGCATATTGGCAAGATTAATTTTGGACATAGCTCATTTTATTTTAAGCATAAAGTTAGACTTAATTTTGTTCAAAATTGAAATTTTGGATAAATTTAGGCTTGTGCACCAATAAAATAAATTTTATTTAAGTAGGACTTAATTTTATTTTATTTTATTTTCCCTCAAATTAATTCTAAATTGAAATTTAGAATTGATTATTGTCACACACAAATCGGAATTAAAATTCCGAGTAAAATGCACGCAAATCGATGCAAAACCGCAAGCGTCACCAAGGCTAGCCGGGCTGCCTAGCAGCCCACATGTAGGCTGCCTGTGGTGCGCATATGGCTGTGCATCGTTTGGTGCGTGGCTGTGTGGTGAGGGATGCTATGGCTGGGCTTGGGCAGTGGCCTTGGCTGCTGGATGCTTATAGGCGCTGCTGGGCAGCGTGGAAGCAAGCACCAGCCAGCCCCCACTTGCTGCCAGGCGCCAGCATGCGTGTAGGTATGTGGGGTGCTGGCCAGCGTAGTGTGCTGTGCTGGGCGCAACATGCTAGCACCAAGCGCCAGCCAAGCCATTCAATGCTGCTGTTGCGTGTGAAACATGAGCTGCTGACGGGCTTGTGCTGCTGCTAGGTAGCAAGCTCCAGCCAGCCAGCACACACTGCCTAGCAGCCGTGGTGCGCCATGCATCATAGGATGGGGCCTTGTTGCTTAAGCTTGGGCTATGATTTTGCGAATTTTTGCCGTTTTAATAATTTTAAATAATTATTTTAACGACGTTAAAAACCTCGATTGTCGTTTTTGCAAAATTTTAACAAAATTATGGGTTATGCCGACTATTAATCGGAAAAATTAAGTATGGATGCGGAATTTAGTGGGAGCTTAATTAAGTGCGTTAGCTTTTTGCGTTTAGAAATAATGGATTAAACCACTTTGACTAGTTTTAATTAGGCGCGTTAATTGGATTAACCACCTAAGTTAGTTACTAGTTTTGCTTGTTTAATTATGTATTTCGTAAAATTGCATGGGCCATTGACAAATAGTGAATGGGTGAATGGAAGATT